TTTAATTGTGGCAAAATCGGACATTTTGCACGTGAATGTAAAAATAAAGCAAAAGCTGAAAATAACACGCAATTGAAAAATTCGAAAAAATCTGTAAACAATAATTTTAGCTATCATGTTGAAGATGCATTTATTAGCTCAATAAAAGAAAATTATTGGTGCCTAGATAGTGGATGTACTGCCCATTTAAGTGCAAACCGTGAATATTTTACAGACTTTCAAAAATCGAATAAAGTGCTTAACTTAGCAAACGACAACACAACAAATATAAACGGCGTCGGTAAAATGAAAATAACTGTAGACGTATACGGTCGTGATAATAATATTGATCTTAAAGAAGTTCTATATGTCGAGGACTTGCGTACAAGTCTACTTTCTGTATCAAAAATAGTAGACAGCGGATATGAAGTGCATTTTCGCCCTTCAGATGCAATCGTATTGGACAAATATCAGAAGGTTATAACTCGAGCGAAAAGATGTGGAAATCTTTTTATTGTTGAAAATAAAAATCATTTTGCACAAGTTGTTGAAGAAAAATGTGACATTGAAAAGTGGCACCAGAAAATGGGCCACATAAATGAAAACGATCTTAAAAAATTGGCTAGTAATAACCTAGTACACGGATTAAAATTAAATCCTAAACAAAAACTTCCGACTTGCGAAATTTGTATTAGTGAAAAACAAATACAAAAACCATTTCCTAAGAGTAAAGAAACTAGAACAAGTGACTTATTAGAGATCGTGCATAGTGATGTGTGCGGACCAATGAGAACAGCATCAAATTCGGATGCAAAATATTTCGTAACATTTATTGATGACAAATCACGCTATTGTCATGTATATTTTATAAAACAAAAATCCGATGTATTAAATGTATTTAAGCAATACAAAAGAGCAGTAGAAACATTTACGGGTAAACGAATTAAGGCTTTACAATCAGACAATGGTAGAGAATACGTTAATTCTGAATTTAATTTATTCTTGAGGAAATTTGGTATACAAAGACGCTTAACTGCTCCATATACGCCGGAGCAAAATGGTATTGCTGAACGTAAAAACAGAACTCTAGTTGAAATGGCCCGTTGCATGATGAAACAAGCTGAAGTTCCGCCAAATTTTTGGGCAGAGGCCATAAATACAGCGTGCTATATTCGGAATAGGTGTCCTACAAAAGCATTGAACGGTGTAGTACCGCACAAGTTGTGGACTGGTAAAATGCCAACTATTGTACATTTTCAAGTATTTGGCTCTAAAGCATATGTCCTAAAAAAGGATAAGACTAGAGATAAATTCGATTCTAAGTCAGAACCTTACATGTTTTGTTGGATATTCAAACGAAGCAAAAGCCTATCGGCTATGGTCACCTACAAAACGAAATATAACAATAAGTCGTGATGTCGTGTTCGTAAACAAAAATATCTATCATAATAAATACGAAAACATTTATATTAACAATGAAAACGACTGCCAAACAAATGATTATATCGATATTGCGTTCGAAAATTGTGAAAATCAGAAACTGTCGGTCAATCCGAAAATTGTAGAAAATACAGATACGCGAGAAGAAAACTCCATTCGTAGAAGAGGTCGTCCGAGACTTATTCGCACAAATTCACGCGGTAGGCCTCGAAAAGAATATTACACGTCAAATCGGAATGGTGAAGAATCATCCAACGAAGACGAAAATACAAGTTCAGTAAGAAAAATTGGTGATAAAAACCATTCAGATGATGAACCTGACAACAACGTTTTTGAAGATTGTGAAATGGCGTTTCTCACTACATATCAAACTCCAGTAACGATTTTGGAGGCACTTGAAAGCGATGAAACAAATTCCTGGTCAAAAGCGCTAGAAGACGAAATGGTGGCACAACTAAAGAATAAAACATGGGAAGTGGTCGAAAGACCGAAATCACGAAAAGTTATTGGGAATAGATTCGTGCTTCGAACTAAAGATGACGAAAAACAGAAAGTACGATTAGTAGCGAAGGGTTTTGCACAACGACCAGGTGAAGACTTTCATGATACGTTTTCTCCAGTCGCTCGTTCAACATCTATAAGACTACTTGCGGCACTGGCAGCAAAAATGGATTTGGAGATCCATCAGATGGATGTCATTACAGCATACCTAAATGGAGAGCTCGAAGAGAGTGTCTTCATGGAAATTCCCGATTATCTTATACCATTCCTGAACAAAGTTGTTTCATCAAAACCAGTGGGAAAAACTTCAACAATATTGTGTGGAAAAGTTAAAGAAACAGCGCAGCATTGGTTAAAGGCGATTAAATCAAGTAAGTCACCTGTATGTTTATTAAAGAAAGCTCTTTATGGACTTCGTCAGTCTGGGCTATCATGGTACATGAAATTGACAAAGAAACTACAGAATATGGGTCTAAGTGCAGTACAACAGGATCCTTGTGTATTCACTAAGCGTGAAGGTAACGACATTGTTTTGATGACAATATATGTAGATGATTTACTAATAGCGTCCAATAATAAGTTTCGTATAAAAGAAATAAAGGCTGCACTTGCGAATGATTTCGAAATGAAGGATTTGGGAATAGTAAGTAATTGTCTTGGCATCGAGTTTCATCAAAATTTAAGCGATCATCAAGTTTTTCTTTCACAAGAGAAGTATGCAAAAAGCATCATTGAAAAGTTCAATATGAAAGACTGTAAACCAGTGAAGACTCCCATAGAATTGAACATTAAGTTAACGAAACCAACAAAAATTGATGAAGGTGTTATGAAGATGTATCCTTATCAAAGCTTGATAGGAGCATTAATGTACTTAGCTGTTACAACTCGACCTGATATTGCGTTTGCTGTAAACTTTCTTAGCCAGTTCAATTCAAATTATAACGTGGAACATTGGAAAGCAGCAAAACGAATTCTAAGATACCTTAAAGGTACAAGCAACTATGGTCTATTGTATGAGAAAAACAATGAAGAATTGTATGGTCTGGTTGACGCTGATTGGGGCGCTGACTTAAACGATAGACGTTCATATTCAGGGTATGCGTTCATTATATCAGGAGCAGCGATATGTTGGGAAGCTCGAAAGCAACGTACAGTAGCGCTTTCAAGCACTGAATCAGAATATATGGCCATATCTGAGGCCACAAAAGAAGCGTTATATCTAAAGGCAATCCTTGATGATGTTGGCATTACAAGTAAGACAATTGAAATCTTTAATGATAATCAAAGCGCTCAAAAATTAACGGAAAGCTTCAGGTATCATCCACGGACAAAGCACATTGATATTCGTTATCACTTTATTCGCAGCAAGGTTAACGACGGCACTGTTAAAATCAAATATATGCCAACAGAAGAAATGCCCGCAGACGTCCTTACCAAAGGACTCACTACAGAAAAGCATGTTAATTGCTTACGGAAATTAGGAATGAAATATTAAAGTCATATTTTATACATAATAAAAGCACTTTAAGAGGGGGTGTTGTTATGTAAAGTACTTTTTAAATATTAATTGCCTGGCAACTCTGGCCTGTCATTATTCTATATTCCTTTTGTAATTATTATTCATTATTCATTTTTAGTATAGTTAATAAAGCGAAGTAAAGAACATGTTAAAAATACATCGGACCGTGTTTCACTTTTGCTAAAAATATATAATAAAGTATTTGTGATTTATTTATTACGAAATTAGTTTTTTTAAATATATAATATACATAAATAATTTAATATAATTAAATATTTTTATTAATATAGCTACAAATTAAATTCATTGAATAAGAGAATGATTATACAATACAAAAACAATTAAAAAGTAAATACAATATACATATATATAAATTTTTAACCTGTTATTGATTTGCTTAACTATAAGACGGTTTTATTAAACTGTGTATACAAAAAAAATATTCAATATATATTTGGAAACATATATAGAATTCCTGCTTATATTTATAAATATATTACACTGTCGTTTAATTATTTCATTTATGTTATTGTTATGAATCTTTACCTAGAAACATAATAGAAATAAAAGTGAAATACTTAAACAAAATAGTTATAAGACATATAGAATAAATAATTAAGATGACGTATAGATTGACCGAAATAAAAATAATGACACATACAAAAAACATCAATTTAAAACAATTTTTGGGTCATTTTTTAGAATAAATAATACAAATGTTTGGAACACAGTAAAACTTCTAATAAAACTTTTTATCGTCTCTAAAATACTTGTTTATTAATTACTTGCATTATTATTATTAACTTATTAATTTGCTGTTATTATTAGAAAAAATAAGTTATCACAAACAGTGATACAAGAATTTTACTACCTTTTTTACAATCATTCTGGCGGTAATTTTTTTTAAATTTGGGGCAGTGCAATAATGTTTTTTGTCAACAAATCAAACCAGAGAGTCAAAATTATGCTCCCTATTGCACTCATTGCCCATATAATTTTTCTTAAGAGTAAGTTAAGGAGCAAGTTAAGGTTCGTATTCGGAGCGAATAAGGACCTTAAGTTGTTTAAGTTGGAAATAATCGTACATTTTGGGATGGTAGTGCAATTTCTCAGATTGTGTTTGTTATTTTGTGTTGTTCTCATTTAAGGTTCCGTTCTATATAAAATCTTCTTTGATAAGAAATCACACCAATTTTAATATAAGAGATATTTTTCGCAATATCACACAGAGATGCACAAGTGTTCAAAATTTTTTCGAAGTTTCGCTTACGTATATTATATGATAAAAATTTTACTTTGACAGTATTATGACAGATAATTGTTTTGGCAACTACATGGTTTCACAGAAATATTCATAGCTTGGTGGGAGCAAATATTAGAATACATATTAAATAGGAATGAGCATATATTATAATTACGGAGTCTTAGCTGCGTGTTGTAGTTTAAATTAATACAAATCGAATCATATCTAAGAATTATGAAAAAAAATAATAGCATAAAAAATTTCAAAGTAGATGTCAACATTTTGGCATTGGAACATTTAAAAAAGGGTATTTTTCAACGAAATATAGCTGAAATGATAAATCTAAGATCTTCAACAGTTCAGCACATAATTGAACACTTAGGTATTACATAAAAATCGTGTAGAAAATATGAGACGAAAAGCTTCCAATCAATTTTTTACAGTAAAAGAATCGAGATGGTTACTAAACTAAGTTCGAAAAATACAGCAACAAGCGTTCCAACGTTGGAAGACGTAGACAAAGAAGACTTAGGAAAGACTTGGCATCCTGACACCGTCCACAAAATATTGGGATAATCATATTTAAATGGAAGAATAGTTCTAAGTAAGCCTTTTGTAAATTCAAAAAAATAATCAAAAGTTACACATTGTTCCTACATATTTTAGCGCCTTTTTTCTTTTATTTTTCCCAAATATAAAATACAATTTTATTATGTAATTTGGTAATTTATAATCTAAAATAGTTAAAATGAATCCTTAGCGACTAAATAAAGTAATTTGTTGTTGAGTAAAACGAGAAATCAATACCCTAAACACTGATGTGATTATATTTTTGAAACAGGTTTTAATAAATCGAAAAAGCACCACAAACGAGAATTGTTAACTGACGGATTCATTCATTTGTAACCAAGATGCCAGTTTTCGTAGAATAAAAATACCAGGAATATCTACTTTTTAATTGTTGATTTTTATAGTAGGGAGAAATTATTTATATGTACATAAATATATTTTAGGAAGAAATAAAATACTTTTTATTGGCGACCGAAATTGGTCCATTAAATTAAATTGAAATACAAAACAATTTCATAATTATATGGTTTACTAATAATATAATTATATTTTTGCAAGAAATGATTATGTCTAAAATCGCTTAAGGAATTCTTCTGCGCAGGTACGTGCCCTTGCGTTCACTGCCAATTTCATTTCACTGATTTCCTTGTCAATCTCTTCCATGAAACTTATAACGAAGTCCACTAATTTATGTTTGTACATTTGTTCTGTATGAAAGTTGGTAATAAGGAAACTTATATCATAGCCATCAATTGGTTTTCTACGTAATATTATGAAGGATTCAGCTCGTCTCATCATGAAACGTGTGAACTTATGGCAAAGAATTTTTTCAATCTCGTCGGCTTGTTTAACAGAAATGCTAACGCGTACCGAATTTATGGATGGTTCTATAAGTACACGTTCACGTTCATTTCGGGATACAACAACAGGTGTTAGTACTAGTTCTTTACTGGAACAGACTTCAACCTCTGGTTTGTTGTGACGCTCCACTACCTGTGAGGGAAAATCTTGTAAACACATCGCAGCTGTAAGAGAATGCCGAACGGCTGTTAAATATGGTTTAAGTGTAGCCGCCATCGGAATCCTTTCAAAAATGTTTGTATCAGTTTTAAATAATTTAATCAATTGCTTGCTGTTTGCTATCTTTACAAATGAATCACGCACTATTCCAACATTAACAACAAATTTTACACGAATGCATTGCACCGTCTTGCGTACCCGTCTTGCCCTGCACACGAAATGTCAAAAAATTGATTTTGACACTTTGCGTCCACCTTACAGAGAATAATTCAAATTTATAAATTAATGACGTGTGGTATTTGCTTCCATGAATACAAATTCGGATAATACAGCAAAAATAAAAGGTGATGGTTATTGCTATTAGTATGTTTATGGAGAATTTTATAAATTTATTATCACCTATAGTTGCTTAAATATTGCTTAAAATTACAAAAACAACACATGAAAACATACAAAGCAACATTTTGCTTTCCTACATACATACATTTATTATTATATATTATGAAATTAGTCTTGAAATGATTTCGAATATTGCTTTATCAGCTACTTATAAAAGCAGTAATAATAATGGTTTTTATTATTTTCAAAGTATAAATATTAATATAATCCATGCTAAAATTGAGAGAGGCAAATGTATCTAAATCCAAATTTTGTTAATTGTATGAATTGCAATAATTAATTAGAGAGGTTTCGAAAAGTAGTGATAATTTTAGGCTGACTATATAGCTGTTACAAGTATCACCAAATACTTACCACCAGTGATCTTTAAATTATTTCTTATATTACATTATTAGTAAATAATTTTTTGAGACTGCAAGTACCAAGGGCTGATGAAAGGGTAGAAGGGATATTACCTCTTATGATATGCACTTTTTAAATTACTTTCCTACAAAATTGTAAGCGAACATTTAAATGAGCGGATTTTGCATATGTTCGTTTTTGAACATAACAATAGAATATAATTAGTCATATATTTATATCTTATATTAGCTGTCTTACAGAAAACATGTTCCGCTCAATTTTACATGCAACACAAAAACAATAGGGTGAACCAGCAATTGATCTGGTTCCCATTCTGGTTCGATGGGGAATGTACATATGTAAAAAATAAAAGTGGAACGTATTTTAATGAAGATATGATTAGCAATGCGATTTAAACATATGATACGATGCAGTAATAAATATAAACAAAACTGCATTAATATTTATTTATTTTTTATTTTATTTTTTTATTTATTTTATGTTATTATTATTTATTTCTTTGTTGAAAGTAATATTTAAATTAGTAATAAATTGTAGTTTGATAATTTATTTAAATCTAATAATTTGAATTGAATTATTTTATTTAATTAAATCAGAACAATACATAATTTAATTGTAGAATATACTTTATTCTTTACAATTCTTTATAACTCATTTGTGAATGAATCAATATGAAATTATTCGATGTTAACCATGAGTCGTTATATCATCGATTGAAAATATTTAAATGCCATTTTTAAGGAAAAATATTTATTAATTCATTTAGAAACTTCAAAATTACCGAAAATATTGTTTTAATAAATAATTAACATAAACTATAAAAATGCCCCTATTTTAACGCCTGTTTATTTCATCTACAAAAAAATATTTCATTTGGTGCCAAAGTCAATACTTGACACTCTTTCGCTTTTATCACTTCGTCAAGTCTCTTCATCACTTCTACAAGTCTCTTCGGCATTGAACCTACAAGTTTTCTTGTACAAGTTCTTCTTGTGAAATAGTCATTTATAAGTCTTCTTTGTTGGAAATAGTATATTGCCGAATGTTTTGTTTCAATATTGTCCATACATTTTCAATGACATTCATGTCTGGATTCTGCGCCGGTGGTGTCATCAGATGTGGGCAGTTCCAAATCAACTAAGTCTGTACGATACCGGTCCTATGTTTTGGATCATTGTGTTGGTAGAAACGAAATGTTTCAGAAATTCCAAGTTTCACGGCACTTTAGAGCAAATTTTTTTTCAAAACGTTGAGGTATATTGTTTTGTCCATGTTACCAACAATAAATTCCAGATTCTCAACGCCGGCGGCTGACAACAGACCCAAACTATAACATTTCTACCGCCATTCTATACAATAGCTTTTAAATTTTCTTTTTTGAACTCAATATTAGGTTTCCGCCACACGTAAGTCATGCCTTTTGAGCTAGAAATATTAAATTTAGACTTGTTTGAGAATATGACGCTGCCCCAGAAGTCTAGTTTTTTGTGGGCATGCTCCTTAGCATACGCAAGCCGACTGCTCTAACTTTTTTGCTTATGAAGTGTTTTTTTTAGCCACGACGTACAACAATTGAGCTCAGAGAAAAAAATTAATTGTGATGTGTAACTTAAATGTCTTTTGTAGTCACTAGTGTGGTGTTGTTGATATTACAGCAGAATCACAGATATGCAGGATATCCTTGAAAAAAACTGCTGCGAAATTTGATTGGAAACGATGCTGTACTATACAGTTGCCATATACGGTCATATACGGCTGCCATGTAAGGAACCAGACTCTCCAACATACACATCTATAAAAATAATAAATTTTCATCGCAAACTGCCTGCAAGATTAAGCTATAGTAATGCTTTCTTTTAAAATAAACATCTTTGCTATGGTGTGGTGCATTTATTTTAATATGTGTGCTATTTATGCAACCAATTACGAACGGAAATTTTTTCGTAGTTTCCACTTTTGCCATGTTAACAAGTGCTTCTGCCGTATTTTGCCATTTTATAAATTGGTGTTCAATTGATATGAGCCAAACACTAGTTCTTTCCATTATTGTCCATGCAGAAGCTTTTGATATTCCAAAACAAATACAAATTTAGCGAAAAGTATTTGTATTTGTCATATACCACAAAAATATATAAATTTCCTTCTCTGCACTCGTTCGTTTGTGACCACCACGGTTATTTTGTATTTGCTGATTGGAATTTATAAACAAATTTTTTGAAATCTAAAATATAATTAATAAAAAGCAATTGTATTTTTTATGCGCACATATCCCTCAAATAATTAGTAATACATCTTTGAAGTCTAAAGTTTTTTCTGAAATCTTCATCGGAAAAATTATTGATAATTTCCACAAAATTTGCACTATATCTTTGCTGATGCACTGCATCCCCTGAGCTGAATACACTTGAACTAGTGTTTAAAATGGGAATGGAAAAATCAGTTTCACTTTCGCTCGATCATCCGAACAAAATCTGCAATTTTCATTTATTTACTAGAGAATTAAATTTAAGCTTTAAAGTAAATAAAAACTAAATAAAAAATTATATTTAATATTTCACACATTTCAACAGATTTCATCATTTCTCTATTTTTTTAATTTTTTATATTCAAAATTTTCTCATTTATTCTTTTACCGCCAAAATTATTCACACAAATCAAAAAAAAAAAATTGTAAACAAAGACAGTTGACATAATTCATGCGTTGCCAATTATTTTCATACGTGATCCGTACCGTTCAGCAAAGATGATTCAGATCAAAGAATACTTGTAGTATTCTTTGATTCAGATCATTGTTTGCTGAAACGCAGCTGTTATATAAACATTTATTGTAAAAAGAATCAAGCAGTTGGTTTACTATATAACGGAAGCTAGCACTCGCAGACCTGATGTTTTAATAACCAACTGTCACAACGATTTTACAGAAAATTATTTGTTCGTAAAAGTTTATCAGCTTTACGAGCGATGACGAAATCGTATAGGTGATCATATAATTCAAATTGCATTGGTAAATTGTATTGGTTCATATGCGTAGAATAGTTTTCGTCTGAAATAACACTAAAAAGCGTTGAAAATAAAATTTTAAATGAGTATACTACTTGATGTGATATTTTGGTTTAATTTGGTTTGTTTGAATAAACAAATTTATTTGATTGCAGTGGCGGCACTAGGCGTTGGCGATGTCGCACAAGGGCCTCGCAAAAAGTCAAATATATTTCTTGAAACTCTAACTCTACTTACCAGAGAAGGAGAAAGAGAAAAAGTCGACCCTAAAATCTCTCTCTGAAACAAGCTGGTAGAGTAGAATCGAAGCAGTAAAAACAATATTTCTGCAATTTGATGATATTATTGAATATGTGAATGACCTGATACAATAAATTGATGAGTTAGCAGTCCTTTATGAAATGTTTTAATTCACGTGTGATACTAAATTTTACGACGAGTACGAACTACGACTACGAATATAAATAAACTATGGCAATCGACGGAAGTAAACTTATAAAAAGACTATCGTATCGTACTGGATTTGAAAAAAGACCAATTGTTTGTAGAAAAAAGTAGTTACGAACCAGATTTCATTTTGTTATTGAAATTAAACACTCTGGCAATCAGATTACTTTTATTGTGGAACCGTTTGTATTTGTTAAAAGTAACAGAATGGCTATCGACATATCTTTTCTCTTTCACTTAAATCCTATTCAAAAGACTTAATGGATATTTTAAACAATTTGTTTTCATACATGACATTAATCATATGAGAAGTATACAAAACGAAGTTCAAGAACAGCGAACATTGTAATATATGTATATTTAATCCTTTAATTCCTAGGAGGAGCATAGGGCCGCAACAAATATCTTCCACTCGGTACGATGGGTGGCCAATAGCTTCAACTCTCCCCAGCTTTTCCGCATGTGTAACATTTTCATGTCGATTTGCCTTCTTCAGATGTGAGCAGGTCTGCCCCTTCTTCTGCTACCCATCGGACACCACTTATTTGCCATTCTTGCGGTGACACCAGTCGGTCTACGCAAAGTGTGACCGACCCATTTCCATTTGCGTTTATTGATTTCGGTTCTTATAGATATTGTGAGTCGAAAGGTTCACCGTATGAAAAACGTTCTTGGGTTATATTCCAACATAAGGCATGCCTAAAAGTAGGCAGCGTCGTTTGCACCTTGCACAATAGCAGTAACCAAGGTCAGCTCGTCAGTTTGACGGTAAGAAATGCTGATTTTCGGTTTTTAATTGTGTCAAGCTGACAGCGAGATTGAAAATAAATAATTAAAAGTTGCAATAATATCGAGTGCAACTTAAGTTATTAACATTTTTGCGAATTTCGCAAAAACTATTTAATAATAGCTGCGTTTCAGCAAACATGATCCGCTCAATGATCTTTGAATCATCTTTGTTGAAACGATACGGATCACGTTTGAAAATAATTGGCAACGCATGAAATATGACAGTT